GAACCCAGCAGAGTGCCTGGTATAATGTGTACACTCAACATTTTCCAACAGATAACTGAGCATATCTCAAAGAGCCACAGAATGACAGAATTCTACTGGGGCTATAAAACCACTAAGCATTGTGCTAAACAAATTATTTTAAAAGAGTAAATCATTCATTCCTTCAAAAATTATTTGGTATCTTTAGGGAAACAACTGGAAACTCACGGCATCTGTATTCAGGAGCTTATATTTAAGAGGACAGTAAGGCAGAGAAACTTCTAAAAAAAATTTTATCAAAAAATGTCTACAACATTTGGGATATTCCACAAGACCTCTAGAAGACCCAAGTGAACTAGACCCAGTCACCAAGAAATTTTCACTCTAGTTGTGGAGATAATAAATTCAAAGATAATGACAACAAAGACAAAATACAAGATGAATTCTAATTTCATAGAACCAAGAAATAAGCAATGTGAGAATTCACTGGTGGGCACTTTGGACTCTTTAGCTCAAAGTGATTAACTTTCTGGGTTTGTCACAGGTTTGGAAGGAGGAGATGCTGAGAAAGAAAGGAAGTGAGGCTGAAATTGCTGATTAAGGGAGGAGAGACAAAGCAAGGGAGTAAATTAGAAGATTTGTTGGAACAAGAGGAAGAACTCCTCTCCACTCACTCAGCTCTGGTGTTGCCCTGAAGTTACCCTGTGCTCTCGAAGCTTGCAGAAAAGAACCAAGTACTCACGGAAGCTGCCTCTTTCATAAAGCTCTCAGACCCATTCCTCTGTATTCTTGTGGCCACTGTACACATTTCTAAATCCAACTGCTGGAAAGCCTTATTCCAACAGTCCACTTTCTAACATGCTTTCCACATCCCAAGATCCTTCCAAAAGCAAATTTGATTCTATTCATTCTTTCCTTAAAATCTTTCTGAAGCTGCCAAATGAGGTATATGATAAAATCCCTAATCATTAAACCATGTGTTAAATTCTGCAATGTGAAGCCCCTCTCTGCTTTCCCAGTGTGGTGTCTGCTCCCTTCCCCACCACAGGCAACTCCTTAGAGCTTCTGCACCTTCAATACCTTGCCTGACAATCCCTTCTGAGAAGCTCTCCCATCTTCCACAATTTGGTGCATATTTCAATAATGGCACATACTACAAATGTTGGGTTCCAAGGAACCATTTTTCCTCCCTCAGCAAAGTCTGAATCGTAGAGAATACAAGAAACAAAACAGCATACTAAATCTAATTTCTATATGCTGGCATAAAAGATGTTCCTAGTACTTTTTATGTCAATAGGAAGAGTGTTGAATCAAATCACCACTTAGAAGTGGTAGAAGCAGTGAAAACCAAGCAGCCAAGGACACTCTCCTGCACATCAGGCAGGGTGGCACACAACCCACCTCCCAAGGATTTTCAATGACATGTGGTCTCTATGCAAAAAAGGCTACAAAACATGTATTTTCTGCTACTATTGCCTAGATCTAACTTTTGTGGTTCATTGTTGAAGCTAATTTAGAAATAAGGCCTTTTGCAAAAATGCTCCATACCAACAGGCTGCTTCATTAACAAATCTTTTAGGCATAATTTCTGGTGGCCATGAATTAATCAAACAAGGAAAATACCCCATGGTGAAATATACCATGTTTGATTCTCCAGAAAGGTTTATATCAAATAAAGAGAGAACCCTGACACGTGAGCACTGTGCTTCAAGGAAAAGCAGAATTCACTGCTAAAAAGCCCCTATATCTACCAGAGGACACACTTCCCTGTATCTAAGTAAAATATCTCTATGATACAATCAGGGATGGTATGTAGCTAAAATAGTTTTTCTTTCTGTCTCTTGTGGATGATCATAATAATGTCAAAATAACTCTTCTGCTCTGATTTATAAAATATTTGAGAAATTTCACAGAAATCTTCAGTAGTCTAGTAAGTTTCAACCTATTGTACAACTATTTGCAGTGATGATCAAGTACTAGAAGAAATACATTAGTCAACAGCCTTAACATTACAAAACTAGAGGCAGAGGTTAAAATTATAGTTTTCATTTCAACAGCATMTCCTCTCATAGTTGGAAATTAAAATTATTTTGTAATAGGCTACACCACTATGAGCATACTTCTGGTAGCCTTTAAAAGGGCTTATTATTTTACAAAGGCCTAACTTTCAACTGCCATAAAATACTTTCTGGTATAAAAATCGCTGCAACAGGGTACAGTACAGCACACTTGTAATCCCAGCTACTCGGGTGGCTGGGGCAGGAGGATACAAAGTTCAAGGCTGGCCTAAAAAATAAAAAGTTCTGGGGATGTAGCTCAGTAGTAGAGCACCCCTGGGTTCAATCCCAAGTACCACAAAAAGAAAAAAGGAGTAGGGGAGATCAGGGAAGAACAGAGGATAGGAAAGAAAAAGAGGGAGAAGGAAGGAAAGGGGAATCRTCACCAAATGAGGAAACCTAAGAAAGCAAAGATTTCAGGTGAGGTAAAGCATGGAAGCAAGAGAAAGAAAGAGGGAGCAGTCAGACTTTTAAATAAAGAAGTGCCAGGTCAGATTTCAAAGAGGGAGAGAATGCCAAGGAGGAGAGATATGCACTCATTGCAACTGACAATGCTTTAGAACCATTCTCATAGAAGACAGTCCGTACAAATGGACACCAAGCACTAAAGCATTTATAAAATTCAAAGCACAGGAAGACTCTTCAGGGAAAGAGGAAACAGTTGTTTAGCAAAGTTAGGGGATGTTCCAGCTGAAGGTAATCAAAGTGATGCCAATTAAAACAGTAAAAGCAGGCACCGAGGCACGCCTCTGTGCCACAGGAGGCTAATGCAGAAGATGGCACGTTCACCTGGGCAACTTAGCCAGACCTGTCTCAAAACAAAAAGGTGTGGAGATGTAGCTCAGGGGTAGAGTGTTTGTGTACCATGGCCTAGTATGTCCAAGGCCCTGGGCTCAATCCTTACTACAAAAAAGAAAAAGAAATCATTAAAAAAAAATTGCTAAACCCCGGGCTGGGGATGTGGCTCAAGCGATAGCGCGCTCGCCTGGCATGCGTGCGGCCCGGGTTCGATCCTCAGCACCACATACCAACAAAGATGTTGTGTCCGCAGAGAACTAAAAAATAAATATTAAAAATTCTCTCTCTCTCTGTCTGTCTCTCTCTCTCTCTCTCTCTAAAAAAAAAAAAAAAAAAAAATTGCTAAACCCCGTTTCAGTTTGTTCCTCGACATATGTTGACTACTATACACAGTGAAGTATTAATCTGAATAGTTTCTGGAGGGTGGGATAAAGAAGGATAGAAACAGTTAGCTAATAGCTACACTGTTTGATTTGATGAAATAAGCATGAATTACATGTAATTAAAAATAAAAAGAGCTTATTGCCATACACTTAAGATGAATTTTATGGTGCCTTATCAGGTAAGCAAACCAAATTAGTTTTGCTTTCTAAGTTCAGATCCATTGATAGCACAGCAAAACAAACAAAACTCTGAGCCTCTTGCTTACTTCAATTTCCATTTAGGTTTACTCATTTACTTAAAACACTCAATATACACATGATGTATACTGATGATGTATCGATGTATACACAATGTATATTGAGGCCTTATCATAACAGGCAAGAATAATTTCCTAAAAAATAAATTGTATTAATTTTATTGCAACTTTTAAAATTTTGCTCGTGAATTATTTTTTATGGTATCATTTAAGTAATATTGCTAAATACTAGCAGCATTCATTATCTGTCTGCCAGAGTGACCGAGTGGAAAGAGCACTAATCTGCACAGGTCTTGCAAGTCAGAAAATGTGGGTATGAAAGTGTAAGAAGCTGAGCAGATCAACCTATGAGCATCAGTTTTCTCTCTTAGAGAGAAAAATCTCATATTATTTGCGCCCTCTGTAAAGATGAATACCTGATACATTTGTTCTCATGTGAATGAAATGTAAAGCTAAGTCATGGAGCATAGCCCCCTCTATTAACTCTCCCCCCCACCCCCSCTCGGGCTGGTAACCAGGAAGTTACCAAATTCTTGTTTTAAATGATTTGTGCCTAAAATGTAAAAGGAAGAAAAGCCACACCCACCCACCCCCCAAAAATAAATTAATTTTAAAGCTATTAGTGACAAACAAGGTTTTAGAACATGAGATGGAACTGTTCTGTTTTAAAACTCATTTGGTATCCAGAAGATTGAGCAGAAGTCGCCAGAACAGACGGGCATGGTAATTTAATTACAGTCTCCGGGAAGAAACCAATCTATCATCCTTCCTGACAGTGCTTTCTTTGGAGACTTGATTCCTTTCTCCTTCCCCACCTCCTCCCACCCCTTTTGTTTGTTTTTTTGCTTAACAGCTCTCCCTCGTTTCAGTCTATCACTACAAAGTTGGAATGTAGCATTCCGAGACAGCTCCCAAGCTCCAGATCCCCCTCTGGTCCTGTGGGAAATGCCCTGCGGTGTTCATTGCCTGCGGGATTTCTCCCAGGTTCCCTTCCGCCCCAGCAGTATCAGCAGAGGGAAAAAGGATCCCGGCYGGCTCTCGGCAGCCGCAAATCACTTCCCGGGCTGCCCCTCCCCAACACTCCCTCCCCTAACTGCTGGTTCGCTTTCACTTTAAACTGGATTCCCAAGGGTCAGAGCCAGCTCTCCAAAGCCGGGCCGGCTCCCCGAACCCCGCCTAGGGCTGGCCGCCGCGCCCCGGCTCTCCGCAATCTCTAGCCTTTTTGGAGGCGCAGGAAATGACCCAAAAGTTGCCTCTGAGTCAAGACTTCCGCACGTAAAGGCGTCCTCTATACCCGGTGACTTTTCAGGGGCTGCGTCCCTTTCGCGTAGAGAGGCTGTTCTCCCCGCCGCTCGGGCCCGCAGGAGAGCTGAGCCCCGAGGCGGCAGGGGGCTGCGGGTTCCCTCCAGCCCTTCCCGAGGTCCCGGCCAATCTCCCAGAGGACTGCGGCGCCCGGCCGCAGGCCTGAACTTCTCCCCTCGTGGGCTCGGGCTTTCTGGCAAGGACGCCAAGAGTCCCCCACTCACCGATATCTCCATCCTCGTCGTCGTCCTCCTCCAGTTCCATGTCTAGTAAAACGTTCCTGGTCAACATTTGCATGTCTCCCCCAAAAGGCGGCTCCGAACTTGTCGCAAAGTTGGGGGTTCCGGAAGGACTCGGTTCTCCGCGGGCCGGGCGCCCGGGTGGGGACTGCAGGGCGCGCGCGTGTCACTCAGGCTCTGGGTCCGCTCTGCCCAGCCCGCGCTCCGGGAAGCCCAGCTGAGGCAGCCAGCGACTGAGCATGCCCAGTGACACCGACGAGGCTCGCTGCGGAATGATTGAACTTCCCTGGTTTTTATTAGGCGCCCAGAAGGAAGTCGGGAGGGGAGGCTAGAGGGAGTAGTKAGCGTTTGCGTCTTACACCAGCGTGAACTCACAGTCCGGGAGGGGTGGGCGGGGATGGGGCTCCTCCAACGTCGCCTCCACAAGACGCAGCTTTTTGTTCTAAGGTCGTACAGGGACACGCACTGGGGCTTGAGGTTTTTGTCATTTGTTACAAGAGAAGGGCGCGGAAAAAAAACCGCTGCTGCAGCTCTCACGAGGAAGGCGAGCACAGGTGAATGGTGTTTGTAAGTGACAAGGAGCTATTGAGGGATCTTAAATTCAATTACTCTGACTCCAAAGTGGAGGAAAGGTTATTCTGTAGGAGAACGGTAAAATGACAGAAGAGTAAGTCAGATCACGCTGGGGAAGTAGTGGGTGCAAAACTCATAGGTAACAAGATAGAGAGAGAGACTATCTATAAAGAAACGTGCGCACAGAAGACAGAAGGATTTCCGCACAAAGTGGCTTAGCAGACGAATGAAGCGCCCCCTATCTCCTCCCGCATGATGCACACTGGGAGTGGTCTCAAGACAGTCAGCAAAGTAGGCTGCCCATTTGGACCAAGGGAATTAGTTCTGTGTGTCAGAGAGAGAAGAAACCGAACACCCTTGTAGTTACAGAGAAACTCTTTTCTAAAATAATGTAGAAAACTCTAATAGCAAGAAGAAACAAAGTAATGAAATTTAAGCTAGAAAGTTAAAAGAAAGCCTGCATTCCTGGAAACCATAGGAAGCAATAGGATAAATACAAAGGAATTCATGTTAGTTTGAATTGCAGGTTCCCTGGTTTATGTGTTCAGAACTTTTACTCATACGCGGTGGTGAACTCCCAAATGAGTCAAATTTGACTTCTCAAAAGGGCTAGCAATTTGAGAGTGCAGCTCAGTGGCAGAGCACTTGCCTAGTATATGGGAGTTCAATCTGCGTTGTTCTGTATGTTATGGTCTAACACTTCTCATTGAAATTCTTTATATTTTTGTCCCAAAGTACCAGGATTATTGCAATAACATTAAATCTCTGCATTGTATTATTTCATATGCTTATTTTTAATGTTCTCACATGAAAGAAAACATTGATACCAATCTTAAGTGGGAAAATAACCATAAATACACACCAAAAGACTCGATACAATTATTTTTAAGAAAATATCCAGGAAATGCTATACTTGCATCCTAAGATACTTTTTTGAATAAAGATTTAGAGAGAGAGAGAGACAGAGAGAGACAGAGAGAGACAGAGAGAGAGAGAATGTAGTACTCTGAGTATAGGATGAGAGCCTAAAGGGAAAAAGAAAATACGAAATTGTTTTCTTCCCCGAACTCTCTCCTCTGAGCTTGTGAAAACTACCAAGTAGAAACTCCAGAGGTGTTTTGGTTACAGGAGTAGTTTTCACAATTTTCATTTTACAGATGCTTATCTAGTACTTTCTATATGCTAAGTATAGATCTAAATGTTTTACAAACATTCAGTAATTTAATGTCATAACAACCCTAGGAGTTGTTTACCACTCTAACTCTGACACCTGGTGATGGAGTACCTTGTCCAAAATCACACAGGAAGTAGCACAGCTGGGATTCAAACCTAAGCAGCTTGTTCCAGAACCCATCCTCTTAGCTACTTCATAAACCACCTCCAGAGACATTTTCAAGTCAACTTTTTTTCAAAATCACTTTTTTCTCCCACCAGTTCTAATTTCTCAAACTCTTATCAAATTCCTGTGTCAGTTCTCTCACCAAATGTTCTGGAATTTATGGCCTAAGACTTTGCTCAAAGTTAGTTTGTAGTTAGAAAATTCTCAGTTGACTTTGCAACAGGTTTTAATGAGTCACTGGTAATTCTTTACAGATTTTAGAGATTACATTTTTCTTGCTTGATGAATGTTGCAGAGAGACAGTGCTGACCTTATATGCAATGTAACTGTTGCTAGAAGAGAAATGGATTATATACTTAGGTTAACTATGAGTCTATTTCTGGGAAATTCCATTCTTTCTTTTAATCCATTTTATTTCCTACTGCTTCTTTCATGCATTATTTTAATTAAGCAATGTGGACTTTAAAAATAATCTAAGGATTAAGCCTGTATATGAACTATACCCTTGGTCCTGAAGAATTATCACTTATAGCACGAATGGTTTGTGAAAGAAAATGTTCATAACAATATGTGGTCAAATTATTTGTACTTGCAAAGCTTTTCCAAGTCAGAAATCATATATCAAGTATTTTCTCATTTACTTATCCTGTGATTAACTATAACCTTTGCCACAAGCATGATCCTTTTCTGCCATCCCATAAATGCTGGTGCTTCTCCAGCTTCAGTCCTCTTCACTTCTTGTCTTTTTTTTTTTTATAGAATTCATATAGTGAAGTTATGGGCAACTTCACTATCTATTCCAAGAAAGACCAGTTTCATGGGCATTCAAATAGCACATTCATATGGGGTCATATATTCAGGAAATTTTGACACTTAGAACTTTAATGTTCTGTGGTCACCATCTTGAAATTCTTAATAACACAATCCTTAAATTTTTGTTTTTTAAAGTGAAATCTGATGGAATGATTGCATGGGTCTCAGTTCATGTGTAGTCCAGCTTCCTATCACTTCTTTACCTTCCTGGGATTAGATCTCAGCCTATAGCTCTTGGTATCTTAGCCCTGACCATACCCATGTCTTTCAGCATATCCAGGATCACTCTTATGGTCTGGATATGAAATGTCCCCCAGAGACATGTGTTGAAGATCTGGTTCCCAATGCAGCAATGTCCAGAAGTGAAAATTGGGGGAAGTGATTGGATCATGAGGTCTCTGACCTCATCACTGGATTAATTCATTGATTGCTGAATGGACAACTGGGAGGTGATGAAAACTGTAGGCAGTAGGGTATGGTTGGAGAAAGTAGGTAACTGGGGCATGTCCCAGAGAATATTTCGTATTCCTGGTCATTTCTTTCCCTTCCTCTCTATCTCTCTCGGTCTCCTCTTTCTTCCTGGCTACCAAGAACTGAGTAACTTTCCTATGCCACACCTTTTTGCCATGATGTTCTTCCTCACTTTGACCCAAATCAATAGAACCCACCAATCATGTACTTAAACCTCTGAAACCATGAGTCAGAATAAATCTTTCCATCTCTGAGTTGTTTTTCTTGGATATTTGTCACAGCTACAAAAAACTGACTAAAACAACCATTGTTGCACTCTACCTTTAATGGGATTCTGGGCACAACCACAGAGAAGATTGTTAATATAAGTTTGCACCCATAGTATCTTGCCCTGGACTGGCAGTGCCACACATACCCAATGGGAGACTGGGTAGATAGAGCCTCTTGCTCATGCCTGGGTGCAAAATCTCTTGGAGGTTGTCTCCCTTCTCCAATGTGGATGACAGTAGAAAGCCAATAGGAAGCGAAGATACCTGGCTAGACTTCTGCCTTTTGATGAAGCAACTAGTAGGAGTGGAGCTCAGCAGCTGCTGGGCCTCATATGCTCTTTGAACAAAAGACCCTCTATTTTCATTTTGCACTAAAGATTGGATAGCTGGTTCTTATTCCAAAATCTTTATTTGCAGGCCAGATATCCCTTCTGTATTTTAGATAATATATTTTTCCTGAATGCTGAACATCTCCTTGTGTATACTCCTTAGGCATTTCAAATTGAGCAGGTCCAAAACTAAATTTATAATCTCTACCCCCAAACTATTTCCCTAAATCAGGGAATTATACAAGCTAATTACATACATCTAAATAAAACAATGATACAAGCTAGTTAATTAGGCCTAAATTTAAAAATGATTTGAGCTAGTTACATAAATTAAAAATCATTTTGACTCCTGCTTCTCTTTCTTTCCCCCCTATGTCCAAACAATTGCTAAATTCTGTTACTTCTACCACCTGGCTATATCGAATATATCCTGTGCTTATTATCTATTGCTACAGAAAATTACATTTTAGCAATGACCCCAAGAAAGAAAGGATTGATGCAGGTAGCTACCTGAAGGAACAGAGTTTTAAGCAGAAGGAAAAAAATGCAAAATTTCCAAGGAGAATTAGCAAAAACACCCTGGCATAATAGAGTTTCTCAAAATCCAGTATCTTAGCCAGGCACAGTGGCACACTCCTATAATCCCAGCAGCTCAGGAGGCTGAGGAAGGAGGATCTGGAGTTCAAAGCCAGCCTCAGCGATATGGTGAGGCCCTAAGCAACTTAGCAAGACCCAGTCTCTAAATAAAATATTAAAAGGGCTGTGGATGTGGTTCAGTGGTTGAATATCCTTCAGTTCAATCCCCAGTATCCAAAAAAAAAAAAAAAAATCAGTGTCTTAGAACAACAATAAACAGATTTTATCTCACATAGTTTTTATATGAGTACCTTTTTAGAGAGATACCAAAATTTATTGATTGTTCCTGATAACATAGAAGAAGACCATTTTAACAAAGAGGGATAAAGAACTACATAAAAAGTTGGGCATGGTAGCACATGCCTGTAATCTCAATGATTCCAGACACTGAGGCAGAAGTTCAAGGCTAGCCTCAGCAATTTACCAAGACCCAAAATAAAAAATAAAAAGGTCTGGGATGTAGCTCAGTGGCAAAGCACCCCTGGTTTTAATCTCCAGTACTCACTTTCCAAAAAATAAAGAAAAAATTAAAACCTACATGTAAGCAAGAATTTTAGTATTTCCTCTGTAGCAATACTTTAATAGGAAGAAGTTTCTACAAGATGTTATGTATGGCATGAATCTTCTTTTTTTTTCTTTCCAGATATTACTGGAAAGAAAATTCAAGACATTAAGAGATGTATTAGAAATTTATCTGTAGTCAGTGTTTGATCCTCATGAGTACTTTTAATCAAGGACACCAAACATTGTTCTTAAGCATAGTCATCAATAGTTCTCTTTATATTTATATTTATATTTATTTATTTATTTTGAATTATTTATATTATTTTGAATTCTCTTGAATTTGTGCTTCCTTTCTAACTGATGTTTTGTATCTTTGAC